CCCTCGTAAAACACGTCGATCGTCGTCCCCTTTCGATACCGCGCCGGTGGTCTACCATCGCGGCCTTTTGTCCACAGGTCGAACAGGTGTAACGTTATTTGTTCCGAAAATATTATACCGCGCTATGTTTGCAATGTCGAAATTGTGAATTCAGCGAGTTTCATTGCGGCCGATGCTTGTGCTTCGCTTCCAGTTATTTACGTTTCAAATTTGAACGTCATGAATATCATCGCATATGTATTCTGTTATTACTGAAAATATTTTTTGAAAATTTTCCTCTCTACACGTGGTGCTAGTAGTAGCGGTAGTGCGTTTATTTATATTGAATTGAAATTTATATTGGAATACACGCGCAAAGTACACAGATCTCTCCAATTATGTTAAATATTCCGGCATAAAAATTCGTTAATATAGCCCGAATGTATCGACATCGAAAGTTGACATCGCGATGAGAAAGGTGGAAAATCACGGGAATCTTTTTTTTTTTAAGACTCTTAGGAAGTTTTTTGTAAAATTCGTATGAAACAACGATGTTTCATACGTGTCGAAATAAATCGCGATAAACAACGCTTTCCTTATTCTCCTCTACCGTTTCTCTTCCGTTCGTCCAATAACGATCATCCTTTTTCGTTATCGTTTTCGAAAGGCTCCGCCAATCAGGAATCTCGAGAGGAAAGATAACGAGCAGATGGATAAAGTGCGGTAACGGGAACCGGGGGAAAAAGAGAAGAGGTAGAGGCTTTCCTTTCGATCGAGTGCGGATGACGGTTCTTTTAGCGGAATTGCTTCGGTTAATAAGCGATAAGTGCCACCAACCAGCAACCAGTTTTCGTTTGCCAGCGTCGTATCGATACAGAGGGCAGTTCCATCCACGTGATTCTATGGCGGAAATTACGCTCTCGATCGTTCTCGTGAACAACGTCTTGCAACAAACAAAGTTTAAGGGAGCAAACATTTTATTTTTAAATTAACCCATACATATTCCTCTCGTTCATATATTTTTTTTTCCTTCTTCTAAACATTCTAACATTCGGTCACTACTGTTCCAACTGCACTAGGATCAAGACTCGATTATTTCCACCTTCATTTTCCAGACTTATCCAACTTTTATCGTAATCAAAAAACGGCCCTCCTCCCATCACTAATCATTACCTCCCTCTGCTTCTTCCTCTCTTTATCTCTCTCTCTCCGCTTTCAACAGAGCGCATCGTTAACGATCCGAGTGTGGCAGGAAGAAAGGAAAAAAAGAAGAGAAAGAGAGGTTAGGTCCGGCGGACAGAAGAGAGAGGCGAAACCTTTGGCGAGCGAGGGCCACACGCGTGTGTCCTTTCGGTTGCCTCAGCAACAGAGTACCTTCCGTCTCGCTGACCCGTCGTTTCCGGTGACACGGATGGCCTTTCCTCTCCTCCTGATGTTTCAACCCAGGCTGCAACTTCGAGGAACAGAGAGAGAGAGAGAGAGAGAGACGGAGGGGGAAGTGGCATTGTTCGACGACGGCCAACTACTTTTCGTGGTTGAACGGAGAGGAGGGGGGGAGGCGGGGGGGAGGGGAGGAGGAGTTCTACGATCACTCTTGGAATTATTCTGCGAAGTGGGGGGGGGAGGAGGAGGAGGAGGAGGAGGAGGAGGAAGGGGAGGACCACAAATTCGCCGATTTTTTACGGCGTTTTACTCGATTTACGAATATCGCTCGAAGGAATGGAATTTAATTTGACCAAGAGAATGCTTTTCGTGGTGGATGGTTTTTGGTGAACCTTCCGGCCGGAACGTATAAAACGTAACGCGGAGGCGGGGATATTGTTGGGGGGGGGAGGGGAGGGGAAGGGGGCAAAAATATTCGATTATTTGTGTGCATAGTGAGAAAGAGGAGGGGGGAGGAGTGGGAGGAAGTTGTGGAACAACGTTCGAGTTGTGCCTCTGTGTGTTATTATTGGTAACGATTATTTAGTTCAATTTTCGCCGTGTTTGTCTTTGGCCGATACACGCACACGGCAGCAACCTAATTATCGTTGCTTTTCCCCAATTACCGAGCAATTAATTGAAATTATCGAGGAAAAACGACGTGGGACGATTATCGCACTTTTTGAATTACTCGAGCCTGTCTGATCTAAACGTGGTTTGTTTTAATCCAATTATATCAAAGTGTTGAAGAAGAAGAAAAAGAAGAAGAAGAAGAGAAAAAAAAGGAAAACGAAACGAAAACGAAATTCGAATTTCGCATTCACCGACACGATGGGAGAATATAAATATCGGTTGTTCGATAAATTTTGCCCGGGAAAAATCGGGAATCAATATTTATTCGATTCGAAATAGCGATTTAATTAAACGGAACGGGGGTTTTTTTTTTTTTTTCGGTTAACTCTACCAGTTTCTCTCTCGTTGGAAAAGAAAATGGCATAAATCGAGCGATTAAACAGGCTTACTCGCGATCACTCGGCTGTGACCTCGTTTCACGCTGCATTCGCTTAACCCGGTGAGTATAACTCCATTAAGTCGCACTTAAATATCACTTAAAACGTCGTACGAATTCATTCCTCTTGGACCGTTACTCTTTCATTTCACAACAATATCGTAACAATAAGAACGTGGAATTCGTACGCAAGCTTGGAAATGTTTCTCGTTCGTTTCGTGATGAATTTTTTTTTTCTTTCCTTTTCGTAGAAAAGGATATATATATATATAAGGCTCGTTAAAAAATTCATGATCGAGCATATTTTTCATATATGCCATAATACGAATAATAATTAATTAAAAAACAATAAGATTCAACACGTTGTTTAAAAAAAAAGGTAAATGGCAGGATAAAACTTAAACGAACGATATATTTTAAATTTTCGGGGGTAAAACGATATTTCGATTCGATCAAAGACCGGAAATGCTCTCTTTTTTTAATGCATTGTATACGAATATTCTGAATACGCATAAAGAATGCTTCACACGTGTGATTTCGTATACATTCAAAATCTAAAATTCCAATATCGATTGACCAAGGTATATTATTCAGTATAGGAAATCGAGTTTCTAGATTACTTCGTAAAATATTGAGTACAGACAAATTATAAAGAGAGAGGAGGGGGGAGAGCGAAAAGAATAGCAGAAACCATTACAACATTACTCCTTAAATTATTAAATCTGTCGCCTGCAAACCGTGATAACAAAATAAAGTACCCTAAACATTCGATTTTATGCATCACACTCCCTTCTGCGAATTTTTATTTTCGTAATCTCAATGTATCTAGAAATATTTAAATTTTCGTACGATAATACAAAAATTACGAACGCGTTCAGGCATTATTTGCGAAGAGTGGCCGAAAGAAAACGTATCCAGAGAGATGGACTCGAACTCGTTACACCAACCGCAATAAAAGTAACGACGCGGAACGAAGGAGTGGTCTAATTCGATATTTCGCGTGCATTGGCAACGACGATCGTGGAAAAGAAAAAAGGAAAAAAGAAAGAAGGGGCGGTGAAATGAAGGGAAAGGAAAGAGGCGCGGTACGGCGTTCTAAATATTTTAAAAGTTCGCCCTCATTTGAATTGAAACGTCTTCGAAATCATTTCGCCCGCCATTTTGTCCGCGGTTATTGCTCTTCCGATCACGTCCAGCGCTCCATTCAACCGATTGATTTGAATATTCTCAACTTTTTCGCCCGCTGCCCTCCACCATGAGATCCGCCATGAATTTGCAAGAATTGCCGCGAATTCGAAATTGCCGCGCCAATTTTATTGGCCGTACGCGAGCTCAGGGAACCGTTAATGACTCGCTAATTGCCGGAAGTGGCCGGCTGAAGATTTGTAATCGTTAGAGAGGCATTAAACGACAGCCTCGCGGTGGATAATGGCACTTCTGCGGCTCGATGCCGCTGTTTTCCCGTCGCTAATATCCTGTCCGTTAATACTGGCTGGCCAAATGTTGTACGAAGCAAGGATCGAACGTGTCCAGCGTTATTAAATTTGCTAATTTGATGTTTCATTTAACTTCGTTGTTAGAAAAAAAGAAGAAGGGGAAAAAAGTATATTACGAGCGAACAGGTTAGTTGTAGCGAACGTAGATGTCGCTAAGTCGAGTGATTCATTGTTTTCAAAGTATTACCTTTTTAATATTCGTATTTATCTTCGTGATGTTTATTAATCATTTCAATAGAATATTTTAAAACTGATTATTGAAATTAATTGATGATCAATGGGATTAAAGTAAAAGTATTTAATAACTTATTTATTCTCGATTATTTATAAAAATTTGTGTAATTCATAAAGAAATTTGCCTACTCCGTTGACAAATTGAATAAAATCTAATTTCATGAAATTACAAATGATCTCAATCACAACAAAACCACAAGTAAATAATAATAATAAAACTTAACCTATAAAGTGTAACATAATTCGCGCCCTCTACAAACGAATCAATAGAACGAAACTTTCTTACATTCATAAAACAATTCATAAAATTCTAAATCGTTTAATAAAATTTTATGAAATTACAAAAAATCTCACGACACGAAACCACAAATAAAACCTAACCTATACCGCGTTATAATGGATTGCCCGTAACACAACTTGCGCCCCCTACACAAATTTCAAATTCCTCTCTATACTCTCTAGCAACAAAAAAAAAAAAAAAAGAAAAAAAATACGTATCGCTTCGATTTATAGCGATCACGATATGACAAAAAAAAAAAAAAAGAAAAAAAAACGGGAAAGAGTTCGTTGATTTCGGGTCTAGGCGTGCGAGAGAAGGAGGGAGGGATACGCGTTCACGAGGCAGAGTCAACAGCACGGTCGATTTTTCGCGGCTTAATTCAACCACGCGAAATCCGGCAACTAGGTAAACCGATAAGTCTCGCGGATTTGTCGGCCGCCGCGCGAAAAATCCGCTTACGTGATCTGGCTTACGCGGAAATCTGTGTTATTGCCTGTTGGAATATGGATGCGTCAGGATATGGCGCTTCCGATCGAGATCTCGCGCGGGAAAATTCGTCGTATCATCTATACTCGCTTACCTGGTTACGGTCGGAGTGGAAGCGACCCCTGGGGACCGGCCGGGTAGTTGCGTGGATTCCCTGACATCAAGTACTCTGCAACAAATGAAATGGAAACGTGCTTAATCCATCGCGTGTGTAATTAATTCGGGTAGTTTTGCGTATGTTGATTTTTGATTTTGGGGCGCGTTGAATTTTGACGAGATAGAATTCGAAGAATGTTGTCGAGAAAAATCATAAAATGAAATAAAAGAATTGATATTTTTTGAATAGTACAAAGAATTTCGTCGAGCGATAGATAAATATTTGTTATAAATATTTCTATTTCCAAGTAACAAATAATAAGAAAAAATGATAATAATATTGGTGCAAAATTGATACGTAAGGAGGCGAAGAAAATCAGCTTAACTGCTTAAACCGTCTCGCGTTTCCATCGTTATAGATTAACAACGAGCAAGTTCGGTAAAAGTAACGACCTCGTAACTAGTGTCTTGTTAGCAGGACAACCGGCAGAAGCTACGGCTGATCTTGCTAGCAACTTGACCTGCGTTACTACTACGAGATAATTGAATTTATTAGCTACGACTCGCTCGACGACTTTTACTCCGGTATCCACGAATTATAGTTATACATGGTTGCTTACGGGCTTGCTTATGGTGGACATTTCTAGAGACGTATTTACTACTTTGCTTAGTTATAGTTCAGATTTTTTATACGTATTATTAGTTTTCGTAATTTTATTTTTCATATAAAATTCAATTAATTTTACAAATATATCTAAGTTCATTCACGATCTAACTTAACGACACTTTGAAATCAAACGAAAAATACATATTTTTCATACATAGAGTTGTGAAAATAACCCCAGTCAGATAAATGTTTCATATATATATATATATATATATCCGTATACCCTATTTCAATATTCCACGTATACAACGAATAAATAGAATTCTGATATTTATTATACATATCAGTTTATTTCACATATTATTTCCATATATATATATTTCATAAAATCCCTTTAAAAAAAAAGACATTTATCTTTAAAGAAAAGAAGAAATCTATCTCATAAAAACAGCGTCATTATATAAACCGTATCGGTACAACAGAGCGAAGAGTACACAGCGCCACCAAATCTGCATCGATACGCATATTAGCGCATTGGGATCCGGGTCTACTGGTTAATTTTTAAGCCTTGTGCCCCGGTCGATGGCAGTCTGACGTTGCAATTCAATTCTGCCCTCCTCCGTGCCGAGAAGCCAGCGGCTCGAAACGTCATGCATATTCTAGTTGGTGGAACGTCGCGAACCGCCTTCCCTTTATCTGTATAGTTAATGAGTTCATAACTAATGTAACTCCTACTGACGTTCTTCCATCGATCGAACCAAGACGGCCATTGTAATTTTTTCTCTATACTTTTTCAATTTTGAAATACTTTCAACATATTACTTAATAACACCAAAGATAATTAATAATTGCTCGCGTAAAATTTCCTTTCTCGAAGCGTAACGAGGTTAAGCGACGTGTGATACCCGTTTATCCCTACAAAAAAGAATAATGATAAATAAATTCTGTTTCGTAGCAGAATTCAAGTGAAAAATTAATTTGCAAACGTTATTATATTCTATATGTTAGTGGATTTACAAAACACGTAATCACTCTACGAGGTTAGGTTAGATTAACAACGTGCTTCACATTGTATAGCAAAGCATAGAATATAAGAATAAGGTTTCAAGTTGCTTCTTGAAATTACCAATTAAAGCAAACGTTGAAACCAAACAAGAAAAAAATGGGGAAGGGAAGAAAAGAAAGAAGTTTGGCCGGGAGAAGAAAAAATTACTGAAGCTGAACGGCGAGTCATTAGCGAGCAGAAGAAATGAGGTTAACGTTCCTTCTTGCGCTTCGACGCAGCAAAGTTTCGTCTTCATCGGACCGGGGGCAAGGTTGTTTCAAGACGTCTCTCGCCCCCTTTATCTACCCGGCAATTCGTCACTGTCCTCGCGTTTCAGGATTTTTACGAAATTTCCCGGATCCTCAGGCCACGCTTCGGTACACACCAGCATGACGAATCGTCGTCGCGATATTGTTCTTTTCGAATCTCTAGGATTTACGAACTACGTAAGAGCAAAATACTAGCGCATGCGCATCTTGGACAAAGACTTTCTTAAGCTATATTATACAACGATGTATAGAACATACATCGAAACGTTAAAAGGTCATTCGAAAATAAAAAGTTTTTTTTTTTGTAAAAGATGAAATATTTAATTTAAAAAATTTTTATTTGTGGTTTTTATGGTGAAAAATAAAATATTGCAAGATTGAAGATTATTATTTTTTTTTTGTGAAGAATAAAGTATGTAATATTATTATTTGAAAAATTTTATCCCGGAATGAGGGAAAATATTTTGCAATGGAATTCTATAAAATGTTGCTCTCAAATTTTAATGAAACTTTGTAAACAAAAGGATGAAAAATTCAGAGGTTAAAAATTACGAATAAAAACAAATAGCTCTGAATTGCAATTAGTAATCTACGTTCATAGTTTTTTTTTAAATATCGATTTACTCTTTGTATACTATATAGATGTATTTTTATTTATTTACGAATTTTATTATTAATGTTGAATTTGTATAAATTTGCAAATAATTTCCAGTTTAGAGACACGTGTTTACATCAATTGTAGTATCTGACAATGAGTCAAAATCAACGACCTAGATAACACATATCAAATATGTGTTCCCAATTAAATATCTTGTTTACCGTTTGAGTAGTAGATATTACAATAAACGCCTATATTGATTTTATCTCACTCCGTGTACCGTTTCAAATAACACGTGTGTACAAACAATCACGCGTTAAGAACTGCACGAGCTATTCGATGCAACTGGATCATTCGTGGATCTGCAAAGTGCAATTACACGTACTCCCTTATGTTTACAACCTGCCCGTGTTTACTAACAACTCATCGTGTTCATACGCATTGGTCAGTTTCTAATATGACGGAGATTAAATGTTTTGCAGTCAATATTGATCATCGTAAAATTTTATCGATTGTGAACACCAAGAAATTAGATTTGGTCTAAAAGTTGAAACGAGATATTAATTCATAAATGTTGACAGCGTGGAAGTCGAAAATAAAGTTTATTATATAACGTATAACACGTATATATTTTGCAAACTTTATTTAAAAACTTGATAATATTTTGAGAAGATATTTCTTATAATAAGATACCATTAATATTCAACGTCAAAAAGATATTAAATCTAACTTTGGTTCACCATGTGTCGTGGCAAACTTATTTCGTATCTTTAATCAGCATACTTTGGTGACAAATCCTATATATCATTACTTGCAAAATGTTCGCTATATATATTCAGTGACACTGCATATAGATTATCCACATATATTAATCGCAAAATATATATGCATATACTGAGATCTCGTTATTGTTCTTTTTTGCATATGACGAGAACTTACGAAGAGTACGTACGTATCAGAAAATATGTTACGCGCATGCGCGAGTACGCTGACTTAACAAACACGATCTTAGCACAAACTCGAGTCGGCGAAAGTAGCATCGCTGCACTGGCTAAAAACTGTACGGCTAATTTCTGGGGAGTCCGCTTAATCCAATTTACGACTCGCTGAAACATTTATGCCGCGTAAAATTTGCTTATGCAAATCACGCGCAGTAGTTACCAACTCGGCATAGTTTTACACGTCGGGCTGAGTGTACGATCGCATTTTTTTTTTTTTTATTCAACATTTTACGCAAAATATTTAGCCATAATAACGTTAACATTTTTTAAATTATTTTAAAATCAAAAAAAAAAAAAAAAAAAAAGAACAAAATTTATACATTGTACAAGCGAAATAGCTATATTCGATTGATTCTAATAATATTCTCAATTCCATTTTCAATTTAGATAATCTGTACCACGGTAACAATTGGTTTCACGATAATAACTGGCAACGGAACAAACAGTTCGTTGAAACACATCATCTCATCCTTCGAGATCACGTGTAAGTAAGGCGTGCAAAGATGTGGCGCTGTGAAGAGTCAATTGTCGAAATCATAGAACTGTTATACCGACCGATCTAAAGGACGCATAATCCGAATCTTACAATCCTTCGTAGTTATGATTGAAATTACGGCGTCATTTGCAGCCGGAGGGTCGAGATCAAAGCCTTTGATCGTTGCGTTCGAGAGACACTGTGACAGACGCGCACGCACGCGCGCACAACTCACCCTTTGTATCATCGAACATAAATTGTTGCGCGTCAGACACGCGGTCAGCGGCCATTCCACGCGTAAACAGTCGTCACGCCGCCACGCGTGAAAATCGGTGGAAACGAATACCTAGACGAATGAACGTACAAGCGTTACTAGCGACATCTAGTAGTCGTTATAGAGTTTCGGTTTGTGCTATGTTCTATGCATGCTCTGCTCCATAATAAGATTCAATGGTATTATGATCTACAATCCAGACATTTTTCTCGTGGGGCCATTCATTGGATGGACGGATAGAAATACAATGCGATCATAAAGCAAAGTTTTTACCATGTAGTGATAGAATTGTGTGCAACATTTTACAGGATTTCAATGGAGAAAAAAAGTTAAGGCTTTCAAACTTTATGTGTCTTAACATTCGTTTGTTAGACATTTGATATGTGAATACTTTTATGATTAATTGATTTTCAATCTTAATTTTTTTCAATAGGAAGTTCTTTCTGTAGGAGGGAACTTTGCAGTGAAACTGGTCAACGAATAAGCCTTTAGTTATGAAAACTCAACGTGACAAACTTTAATTGGTAAATAAATAATTGGTATTTTATTGCAATCGAGTTCAATAATTTTGGTTATTATTATTGAAAAATAATTTCTAAATTATTTATTATAGAAATTTTTATTAGTTTATCAGTGATGCATCTTCTAACTTTATTCAACTTAACAATTTGTTTCATTATGTGTTTCTTTTTTACATATATATATACGAGATTAAAAATTAAATTTCCATAGCTTTTTTTCATAAATAATAGAATTTTTATAATTTATTTTTATCTCCTCAAGTTCTGTTTCCAGAAATATAAT